ACTAATATTTTTAAAAAGATTTACATATCTAATGAGTATGAGCCAATATGAATTTATGAGCACCATATTGCATGTGGAGTCCAGAAGAGGGCATCAGGTCTCCTTGCACTACGAGTTAAAGGCAGTTATAAGCCTTTCGGTGCAGGGAACCAAACATGGATCTTCTCCAAGAGCAGTAAGTGCTCTCAAATGCTGAGCATCTCCCCATCCCTTATTCTATAATGTCATGTATGTTTCATAGTATAACAAAACAGAAGAATTGGTGTAGGCCCATGATATGACTCAGCCCATTAGGCCCTTGTTGCCAGACCTAATGACCTGAGTTTGAACCCAGTAATCCATGGTGAAAAAGAATGCTGGTTCTAGCAATTTGCCCTCTGGTTTACACACATAGAAGAACAGGTATATTAAACTTTTTCTGTGATACTGGTATTGTCAGACTACTCAACTTATCCATGCATTGGTTGAAAACATGGACTACCAGCTACTACAAGGAACTGGAGAGGTAGTTCAGTGGTTAACAGTACTGGCTGCTCTTGCAGAGGACATGAATTTTATTCCTGGCATCTACATAATGGCTCACAACCATCTGTAACTTCAAGTCTAGGAACCCCTTTCTAACCTCTGTAGGCACCATTCATGCATGTGGTGCATACACATGCATGCAGGCAAAACACACGTAAAATAAGATAAATAAATCTTTTTTAAAAAATAGACTTTTAGTCTGCATATTAAGGATGGGCTCTCTCTGGATTACTCTCAATGGACAGCTTAAGCCAAGTCTGCCAACAAGGAGTCCATCGTGAGTGGAGGCAGAAGTGGAAGCCCCTTTAGTTAAAAGTGGAGCATTCACCTCCTGGGGACATGCTGTTCCTAGGATAGAAGCCCCCCATCCACATCATTTGCTGGTCCTGGTCATTTTTACCTTCAGAGTCCACTCGCTTCTGTTTCTATCATTACCATTCTAGACCACCATTCCTCACCTGAGCAGTCAAGTGGCATCAGAATTGGTCACCTTTTGCCCACTGTTGCCTCTTCTAGATACCTCTGTGTAGCTGCAAAGGAGACATAGATGAACTCTTCAGGAGTTGTGACATTCTCTGCACTTGTGAAAAAGTTTTAGAGCTACCATTGCTTGAAATTGACTTCTTAGTGTTCCTGCAGATTATTACCCTGTACAGGCCTTATGTCAGAAACACCATTCACCTTATTCACTGCTGCATTCACAGTGCTTTGTAAATCTCTCAGTAAATACTTAAGATAACAAAACTCAAAATACAGATGTGTAATTTTGTTGTGAATGACAGATGCTGCTGGTACTCATGTTCATGAGAAGATAGTAAGTGATGTCTCTGAACTTCAATGAACACTACAGCTAACAGCATTTATATGTTGAGTGTGTGCTGGACCACAGTCCTGGTGCAGTCTTTGGGATTAGAGCTATTTCTCGCGGGAGGTCTTTGCATGTCTCTGATCCTAAAGCTATTTTTTCTACTGTTAAAGGACCATGTCCTTATATAAAGTTCCTTTCTGTGGTCATCCAGGAGGAGTTTAGAAAGATGCCATAGAACTCTAGGCCATTTCCCGGCAAACAAGAACAGTTCTTTCTCATTATGGGTCTCTTTTCTCCAGCCAAAGCCATTATATTCTACTACTTAGGCATGCTTTCCATGTAAGACCCATATGGCGAGACCAGGAAGGTAGCTCAGTCAGTAAACTACTTTCTCTGCAAGCATAAGAACTAAATTCAACCCTAAGCACACCCATGTACAAAAGGTAGCTGTAGTAGCACACAGTAATCCGGGTGCTACACAGAGAGTAACAGGCAAGTCCCTGGTCTTCACTGGCTGTCAGCTTGGCCTCCATGGAGAATTCTAGGTCAGAAAGAGACTCTGTCTCAAAAACAGGTGGATGATGCCTTAGGAACACCACCCTCCCCCCAAGTTGTACTTTGCCCTACACACACTAGCAGACACATGCATGTACACATGATCCATATCCAAGGTAGAATCAAGTGATGAATCTCTTGGGGATGTGGTTAAGCCAGTGAAACTCGAGTTGTTTATGTTCTCTCCTGTACTGAATAGGCCTAGGAAGTAATGGTACTTGGTGATGGCTGCATTTAAAAGACAAAGATAACACTTGCTTTGTTGGAGTAGATATACCCAGAGACTCTTTACTCTAATGTGTTTTTATAAGCCCTGTGTCCTATCCTTGCAATGCCACTTTTCCATATGTGTCTTTACTGAGCACCCACTGTATACTGAACATCTTAGATATCAGAGATCCAAAGATGAGGTATAGAGGTGGTTCTCAACCTTTCAAGATTCTGTAAAAGTCTGCAGAGAGACCAGCACATCATAAACTAAAGCCTAAGAGCTACTGTGGCAGTAGGTGTAAGGATGGTAAGGAGGGCAGTGGGATCAAGCAGGTACAGATTCAGTGTAGCTGTTAGAGCACCAACACCGGAAGCAGATTGTCTGTCTTCACCGACTTCACCGTCTTCACCGACTTCACCGTCTGCTGCTGTTACCTGCAAGCCTTGTGACTTTAGGCTACTGACTTAGTTATGCCTGTGTACTTACCTGCTAAATGGGGCAATAAAGGGTGACTCACAGAATTACTGACAGCATTAAGGGAGCTTGTGGTGCTTTGGTACCTGGCTCTATAAAGACCAGCTCTTACTATATCCGCTGTCTAATGTGTGTTTGTCAGCTGAGAAAAATGCTACTGCAGTGGCGAGCTTAGTTATCACTGGACTGGCTGACCAGGAGGTCTGGATGACTGAAGAGTAGCATGCCTGTGAGGTGTGGTGGGAATGAGACACTGGGTTGTGTGAGACTTCTTGCAGGTTTGGGTGTGACTCTGAACAACAGTGTGCTGCCGCCCTAGCCTGCAGGCTATGAGGTGTAGTGGCTGAGCTGGCCAATTCACCCTGTGGGTCTAAGTTTCACTTCATTTCTGCCCAAGCATTAATAAAGCAAAAGGATGTGGGTTTTTTCTGTTCTTTTCTGGTTTAGTCTTTCTGCCTTAACTCCCTACTGCTGCTAAAACTTAGATACTTACCTGTGATTTTTTGCAGAATGATAAAGTAATGAGCCTTTAGCTGAGATAGATGATAGACACAAGGTGCTCTGTAGATCCCACGTGGTCCTTCCCTCCTCCCCTTCCTCTTCATTCAAGCAGATGCCAGATTCCTTGCACTCTACTTGACTCCAGGACTGCTTTTGTTTTCGTGTTCCCAAGTCAAATTGTTTTCAAAGTAGAAGCATAAAGTTACTCTCCCTTCTGACATTACTGTTACTGTCTAACCATGTTATCATGAAAGCTGATTTTGATAATTAATGCTTACAATTAAAATGAAAGGAATGTCTTATTTGAAAACGTTCCGATTTAATTGAGCATAGCTTTGCTACAAGTGTGGACTCTGGAGGCAGACCCTGCCACCGTCTGAAAGCCGTAGACAAGGCCCATAATCTCACTGTGCTTCAGGGGCCTCATGGCACACTTCCCACAAAAAGCTGCCATGAGGATTAGTGGAGGTATAAAGAACAAGGGCAGGTACCTGGATTTCTGTTAAAACAGGAACTGATGGGTTATTTTAAGAAAAAATGGGGACTGGTATCTATCTCCATTTTGACAGCTGGGGAAATATTTCCATGAATAAAAAAAAAGTCTTTGCTGCCCAAGCTTGAGGTCCTGAGTTCAGGTTACCGGAACCATATGAAAGTTGAGTGTAGCGGCACACTTGTTACCCTAGTGCTTAGACAGATCCCAGGGCTCACTCGCTAGGTAGTCTAGCTGAAAGGGTAACCTTGAGATTTGGTGAGAAACCTTATCTCAAAAAAGTATGGAGGAAGAAAGAGCTGGAGAGCTGGCCCAGAGGTTAGAGAAGATCTGTTCTCCAGAAGAGGACGCTGTGGCCCACATACATAGATGCAGCCAGAACACTCATATACAGAAAATAAAAAGTAAATAAAATAGGTAGGATGGAGCGCAATAGAGGAAGACATGTCACATCACCTGACCTCAACACATGTACGAATGGGTGTGCCTCATGCTTATGTACATGCATGTGTGTCAGACGCCATACAGTTATCATGGTCTCGTATTTTGTCTAGTCTGAGCTGAGAGGTACAGGATCTTGACAATTTAGTTGTGAAAATCAAGCAGGGGAAGAATTGGACAGCTGTAGGTCAGAGGGCACAAAGAAGCAGATGTAAGGTGAGGAAGTAGAAGCTGCAAGCACGAACTAAGATGAGTAATGTGTAGGGAAGACTTGAACTTTTCTTCTTACAAAGAAAGTAAGTTGGATATGGGGCTAATCCGTGCTGCTGTGGGGACCATTTCTCCATTTATATAATTATCTCATAACATCATGCTGTCAACCTCAATATGGACAACAAGGTTTATTTAAATGAAGAAATTTAAAATATCTTTAGTTATTATGTGGACTTCATGTTCCAATAGTATTTTTAATCATTCAAGTCTTTTGTAAAGACTTTCATCCACTTCTTTTTATTTTTTGATGTTTTATTCTTCTTGTATTATTTCTCTTGGGGCTTGATATTACTGATAAAGCAGAATTTTGTTATTTACATGCTCAGGTGACAGCATTAGAAAGCCTGTCACATCCCTCCTTGTGTCCTTGAAGTTAGGCTTAATCCTAGCAGAAGGCGGTTGCGGGACCAGAGCAAGAGTGACAACCAAGGAGGCTTTTGCTCACTTGCAGAGTTTGAATGAAAACACTACCATTTATAGTTATGCTGGCTTCAGCCTTCCAGCCACTCTCTGAGGCAGATGCAAGAATGCCTTCTATTCAGGAAGTTGAAGTATGTAGGCAAAAAAATCACTCTCTATTCTAGTTAGGAGCCAGGAACAAGCTTTGTTAATCTGTAACTAAAAGAATAAATACTCAGCATTACACAGTCACTTGGGATGAAAGCAGATCCTTTCCACATAAGATTCACTCCTGGAATGTCTGTTTAATTTTCTTTCAGATTCACCCCACCATTTAAAACCTGGAGGCATTGGACCACACAAAGCCTTGCTGGTAAGGTCTTCATTCATTATTCAAACAAAGTGGCTATGTGGAGTTGCTTTTAAAATGCTAGTCACATTTTTAGTCAAATGCATCCCTAAAAAAATTACTGAATATTTATTTGTACATTTTTTTCTCTGAATGATTTATGAATTTTCTATGCCTTTAAAAAATATGTTTTTGTTGGTTTTTTTTGTTTTATTGTTTTATTTTTTGAAAAGAATCGAGGAAGCAGTGTATCTGTGATACATACCAGAAGCTCTTAAACTAAAACCTTCTATATAATGAAACCCTTTGCAGGTCCATGTTGATGTTCTTCTTATTTCATACAGTATTCAAAACACCAAAGCGTTCCTTGAAGTATGTTGTAGTGAAAAGGGGTGCACAGCTAGCACATTAGGCTGTCCTTACTTTAATTGTGTTGTTTTACAGTTCTTCATTATGTGTATGCATGTGTGGAGGTGTGTGCACATAAATGCAGAGGCCGGAGGAGATGGTTGTGAGTCACCGTCTGAGTGTTGGTGACTGAGCTGGGTCCTCGAGTTTTCTGCAGGAGCAGCCAGTGCTCTACCCACAGAGCCAACTCTTCAGCCCCAGGCCATAATTAGTGCTTTGTATGCTTTCTCTTCTAACCTAAGTGTGACTGACTGGTGTACTGACAGTACCTCAGTGGTAGAAATTTTGTTTTTTTTTTCAAGTGAAAAGCATGTGAGGATTAATATGGCATCACTTCCTGGCCTTGCAACTGTAGACTGACTGTGGTGTTAGCTTTTACTTTATAATAAGTCACCCCAAATTTACTCCTCAAATAGCACTTGTTTATCTTCAAATTCTGTGTGTATGTGGGAGAGGGGCCATGCTTTGGGCTCAGCTCAGTTATGCGATTCTTCTGGTTTTACCTGAGACTATTCATGAGTAACATCCAGGTGAATGAGGCTTTGTTTTGTTGGTCATGTGGCTGTTGGCTGAAGTGTTTATAATGCCTGTCCATAGCCAGTGTCTCCTCTTGGTGCCACATTAGCTGTCCTTGAGGATGTCCCCTGCTCTGCTCACAAACCATCCCCATCACACCAGCCCAGGCCTCTCTCTCTGGCTCCTCTACCCTTAATACCTAACTGTATCCTCTCTTGCTCACTTGTTCCTCTTCTCTTTATTCATTGTGAATGGCATTTGTGCCTCAGGAGCCATTGACCCTGTCTTTTGCTTTTGTTTGTTCTTTCCCCCAGACCTGTAGATGGCCAATTAGGCTAGGCTTGCCGGCCAGCAAGCCCAAAGGTCTGACTGTCTGCATCTCTAGTATTGGAAGTACAGGCATAGGCCCCCACACTGGTCTTTTACATGGGGACTGAGGATTGAATATGGGTCATCAAAGTTGCACAGATAGCGTTTACCTACTGATCCATTTCCCTCAACCCTATGCTTTTGGGGGCTAGCAGTCAGGTTATTCTGTTCACTATCATATAAGACATCTCATTTCTTTCTGCTTCCCCCCCCACCTTCTGCACCCGAAGACCCTTATTTTTAAGGCCTGCCTTATTTAGCCATCTGTGATTTCACCTGCTCCAGCCTCCTTACAAGCCAAGCATGTCCACTTTTCTCACCTTCCTACTCTACCCTTTTTTTTGGGGGGGGGGGGGGGCAGTGAGGGAGCTTTGTTAGCTCTTTGAAAGCAGAAATTCCTTGTGGCTCAACAGCACAGGCAGAAAGTAGAACAGATCCTTGGTTAAGCAGGAAGCAGCCCAGCCCTGCCCTCATTCACACCACCCTGCACCTCCCTCGGCTCATCAGTCACGGGAGGCCCAGCTGCAGACCAGGCCCGTGTGGCTTTCATTCTTCAAGCTTGGGGAAGAGCCCAGCTATCAAGTGATGCTTCACAGCTGGCACCCTGCTTGGATTGCACTACACAGCTTGGCAACCCAAGAACTAGAAACTTAGGTAAAGCTTGGGTTTAAGCACAGTTCTAGGAGTTTTCTTTACAATGCTGTCTTTTGGAGCTGCAGTTTTCTTGTGTGGAAAGAGGGGATGATATATACCTCAAAGCTTTCCAGAAACAAAAAAAAGTTGCCTGTAAAAATGCTATGTAGACCATAAGGTAGAACTGAAAGACGTTAGTTGCTGTGGATCTCTGACAACTCAGTCCTTTGAAGAGGGAAGTTTCCTACATAGCAGTGGGAGAAGAACAGATAGTGAGAAGTTGAGTGGAAATAGTAAAAGTGGGAGATTCAATAAAATAGCATAAGTAGTAATAATTAGGGGATGCTGTCTGCCAGGCACCGAGCTGTCTGCTTACGTACAGATTTCCTGGAATATTCTCCATCCATTTACAAAGCAATCTTTTTCTTAGGATAGTGTCAGTCTCACTATTTAACCCTAGCTGACCTGAAATTAAAAATCCTCCTGCTTCAGCCTCCCAAGTGCCCAGATTACAGGTGTCACATCACACTCTGTTCTCAATCATATATACACATTGGGGTGTGTGTGTGTGTGTGTGTGTGTGTGTGTATGTCTGTGTGTGTTTTATATTCTTCAAAATATAGATCTACCTGTCCCTGGCAATGGTCTGGTATTAAAGTTATCAACCATTGACAAGCTAGACTTACTATTAAAACTTCATTCAGGGAAGTGGTTTTTAATTCCATCAAGATTGTTAGTAAATAGTCTCCCAGAATTCTATAGGGACTGGACTATTCATAGAAGGAAATTTCCTTTGGGACTTTGTTTTCCCTTAAATAAGGCTTATTGGTTGCAGTTTTTCTGCTCAGAATCAACAGAACTCCAGCTTAGTCTAGGTTACTGACTTATGTGATTGACATGTTTGTCCTGCTCAGTTGTGCTGAGGGCTCAGGCCTGCATCCAGCCATTTATAGTCTCTGTCCTGTTCTCCTCCCACCTTAATTCCATCAGTGTCAAACTCATCTATGCACCACACTTCGTAGCCACACCACAGTGGCATATGTAACTACTAGTGTCAGCCACCATTCATGCAGCTTGTATCTTAACGAGAGTAACTCTTCAACCATAATTCTAAGGATAGTACCAAGGAAGTGTTTTCACTGGCCTGGTTTGGATAGCTGTTGGATTCATCATGATTACAGGTGGGCAGTAGACAGCGGGCAGTATCTCTTTGACCATGCTGTTCATATGTCGAATGACAGAAGGCAAGTCCACCAATACCAAATGTGGTGAAGGGGGGAGGGGAGAGTTTTCACAACAGGAAGGATGGGAGAAAAGATGCCAGGCAGATAAGATCTGAAAGTACCACAGTGGTCTGATTTAGAAATTTAAATTTCATAATTTGGAGTCAGTTAAACTTGTAAGATTGAAAATTAGATGTAGCCTTGGCTATGTTATGATCCAGGCTACTACCAGTGAGCATATGGCAGGGATGAGAGTGGGTAGCTTACTTTGGGTTTGGTGGGAAGCTCCTGGGTTGAGGACTTTATGTTGCATCCCAAGGAGCCATAGAGTAGTTTGAACCTGGAGACAATGGTTGAGCTTCAATGGATCTGCAGACTTCCATAATGATTTACAAAATCGTGTGCATGAGGGATCTTGTGTTCTATTACTCTCTCACTGGACCCCACTGATAAACCACTGTTTGGCCTAACTGTGGCTGTTTTCAATTTGGCTAGTTTAGTCTTTGGCATTAACCTCTGTTCTTGGCTCACCTACCAAAGTTTAGTGTCCATTATAAACATGGCTGCTTATGGAACAGACAGTGATGTCAGTGGCTGAGCATTTTGCCTTAAATTATATATTGAGTTTTCCAGCTTTATGTATAAGGTTTTCACAGTCATAGCTGCCATTTACCTAATGCCAGGTTCTGCTAAATACTTTATGTGCATTATCTGAACTGCATATTTTTTTGCATGACTAACTCCAAGAACCTCAAATCTGTCACAGTACATCCAGCTGGGACCAGTACCTTCCAGCTGCCATTCTGGAAGCACAGGACAAGTCTCTTGATCTTCTTACATCTGTTTGTTCTTGTAGGCCCCATTTTCACCTTTCCATGCACAGATGGTAGTAGGATCAAAGCCCCAACATTGGAAGACACTGCTAAATTCATGTAGTTCATTGGTTTCACAGTCTATTCCAGACTTGTACTGTCTTAGTTAGGATTATATTGCTGTTGGGAAATACCATGACCATGGCAGATCTAATAAAGGAAAAGATTTAATTGGGTCTGACTTATGGTTCAATCCATTATTGTTATGATGGGAAGCATGGTAGCATGCAGGCAGACATGGTGCTGGAAAAAAGGAGCTGAGAGTTCTACATCACAATCTACAGGCAGTAGGAAGTAACTGAGATGCACTTCCTACAACAAAGCAACACCTACTCCAAGAAGATTGGGTAGACAACTGTGTAATCCTGGGCTTGCTGCTTGTCCCAGAACCAGTTTCCTTCTCTGTTGGATTGTATAGATACCAATCTTACAGAATTGTTTAAGGGACTAAGTGAGGTTCACACTCCACCCCAAGACATACACACACACACACACAAATGCTCAGTTAAAAATTTACAGTACTCTCTAGGGCAAGCCACTTGCTCTTCCAGCTGCTTACTTTTGTGTCTCTCTGTATGCCACAGTTAGAAGAACGTAAAGGACTGTGCTGTATTGGCTTTTCCTGAGAAGTTCACCCAGATAGAACAGCAACATAAACCAAAATGCAGTTCCACCAAAATCCAACTCTGCAAATATGTGTGTGTATGTGTGTGTGTGTGTGTGTGTGTGTGTGTGTGTGTGTGTACACACACACACATATATTTGCTTATTTACAGTGTGTGAGGGCAGTACTGCTTTCAGGAGCATGATTATCCTAACTGCCCTGTGTCAAAAACAGACAACTAACTCACTGTCTTTCCACAGTGTCACAATTTCTTGAATAACAGTAAATTCCCAAGGTATGGTAGCTTTCTTTTTTTTTTTTTTTTTTTTTTGGTTTGGTTTTTCAAGACAGGGTTTCTCTGTGTAGCCCTGCCTGTCCTGGAACTCACTCTGTAGACCA